TTTTTTTAATTTTAATTTTTATTTTTTTTTTTTTAAGTCAAGCTAGTATAAATAAATATTTATGTATAAATACTTCTCCTCATCAAGCTGATCAATTTAAGATTTACCGATTAATTTCTATAAAAAATATTTGTATTTAAAATAAAAAAAAAGTCACAATAACTAAATATTACCTAACAACTCCACTCAACTCAATAAATGCCAACATATTCAATAGAGTATCTCGGCTTCGTTTTGCGCTACGAGCAGCAGCTGTCATAATATTCACTTTGCTCTTATTATTTCTTTTTTCATTTATGCAACTTTTGTCACTCATAATTATTTGGCTGTTAAGCTGAGAGCAACAACTACGGAAACGGAAACATCAGAAATATTTGTCGAAAATGTAGCCGAGAGAATTGAATGCTGACTGAGTATTCAGAATATGTCAATTGGCTGTAAAACGAACAACGTCAGCGACTCGGCCCGCCGAGTGCCACTCACTGTGCATTTCAATATTTCATTTGGAGCTCATGAATTTGTATTACCCATGCCACTGCCCCTGCCACGCCCCCATTAAAACAAGGCAAAAATCATTTTAAATATGTATTTACGCTTTTATAAGTGCTTTCTCCAGCTACCAATGGGAAATGGAATCACTTAAGAAATGCTTTCTTTTCTCCTATTGTTTGTTTGTTTATGTTTTCCTTTGAATCGTGATGAAATTAACATTTATTCACTGTGTTCGATATGTTTTGCTTCGCTGGCTGCCCGAAAAAAAGAAACGCAATTAGAAAATTCGTAAGTCAAATTTCGAATTTCTAATGGCAGAAAAAAGAGAAAATTAATGTTCAGCCAAGCGAGGAAATTGTGTTTACTTTTGCCAAATTTATTTAGCTAGCCAAACTTTCTAATGCCACAGAGATTGCCCCTAATGCAAAGCAAGAATTCGCTTGGCTGAAAATATAAATTTCTATAAATACATTTTTTCCCCAAAATGTGGAAAAGTTCATTAAATGTAATTAAGTGTATGCGAAATATGTAAAGATTTGTGTTGCACATAAATAAATTTATGCCAGTGTCTAGACAAAATTTAAACTAATGTTTAAATTGGAATCCAGACGAATTATTGCGTACCCAAACAGACAGCGAGAGATATATATAGCGTTTGATTGGGAGAGGGAGCGGCAGGGAGTGAGCGAACAAATTTGAATTGCTCGACTTCAAACATGACTGGCATAATTGTATTTTTGACATTTTATAAACACGCTCACATATTTTAAATAAACTTCAATCAATGCGGACAGACAAAGGCCGAAGGCTCTGCCCGCACACCTCCCCAAACAAAGGGAGCGACCGAGAGCATGCCTTAAAAGTCAATTTGCCTTTGGCAGTGCTAGCAAAAACGTAACCAGACCCCCTCTGTCCTTTGCCCTGCTCCCCTCTTCCTCAGGTACTCCGACAGACACAATGCACATATAAAAAAGGTGCAAAAAGAAGAGATTCACGCATTTCCATACAACTTATGACAACAAAAGGAATACAGCAACAGCAACAGCTACAGCAACAGCAACAATAACAGTTACAGTTGCGTTTAAAAGGGGCGCAAAATTTCACGCAGCTTAAAAACCGCACTCACGCACAAAATATTTTTATTTACCTTCGTCCTGTGGCAGGGGAGCCCATGCCGATGCCCACGCCCATGTCTCCTGCCCCTCGCTGCTCGCTGCTCGGTAAACAATAAACCTCACTCAGCTCGCTCACTCTCTTTCTCAATCCCCCTTTCTCAGTCGCTCTCGCATAGTATAGAGCAGCGCGAGCCCCGGCACTAAAAGCGCCTTATTTACGACGTTTACACGCAATATTTACATGAAATCTCTTACAATAACAGTTATGCTTTTTGATGCGACCCCAGATTGGCACAAAGACTCCTTTTCTGCCCAGCTATATGTATATATATATGGAGCCCTTTCAATTGTTGCCTTGGATTTCGCTTGCCCATTCCCAGCATTTTTTATTAATTTGTCAAACAAAACAAACACAAAGCAAATCAGGGCTGCATAAGCAACTTTGATATTCAATACGGCGGAAGAATGTAATAAATACTTTGGGGAGATGAAGTGTGGATATAAATATATTTATATTTCTATTTATATTTTTAAGTTGAAAAATTCGTTTATTATATTCAGCGTTAGGAATTGATTAGACGATATGTTTCTGCTCTATAAATTAAAATTTTATATAATTTTATATATTGATCTATATGTTTTTATAAGATTTTAAATATATTTCAATATGATTTTACAAAATTTGTTATATGATTTTTTATGATTATATTCATATGATTTTATGTGATTTTTATTTATTTATTTAATATATTTTTTCAAGACTTTGATTTGCTCATCTGATTAGATTTTATCTACTTAAAGTATTCTAGAAGTACAGGAAATTAAATAAAGCTAAAATTCCAGGCAGTAAAACGCCTTTTTTCTAACACTTTTTCCAATTATTTAGTATTTTGAAAGTCCTTCCTTATATTTACTAATATCAAGTATACGCCTGGGGTAAGCAGTTGAATTTGTGAAATTTTTGAGCAGTCTTATATAATAATTTCAACCAAGCCTCTCAACCATTTTATATTTATCTCTCTGTTTGCAGCCTAAATTTATCTGTTTTATTCAGACACTCAATTTTTTATTCTTTTGCATTGCTACATACTCAGCTCTTGGCTCAATAGCTCTTTTGCCAGCCCTGTTTGATAAAAATGTGGCGCTCTGGCCGACTCTAACGCCTGACGCAGTCGGCGAGTGCATGTTTAATATTTTAGCATTAAAACTGATTTTCCACACGTACCGCATAGGCGACTACGACGGCGACGCCTCAAAGCAGGCCGTCGCCGCCGAGCCGCATTCATATGCAAATACATGAAAGGCAGGCGACACAGAAAAAGCAACAAAAAGAAAAAAAAAAAAAAAGAGACGACGAGAAATATCGTATCCGCAAAAAGCGCGATGCGCAAATAGCGCGCTTCCTGAAATAATAATTCAAATGCTGTGATAAAAATCGACTATAAAGCCGCATGCTGTGCAAAGCCACGCCCCCAACACGCCGACATATAGCATGCCCAACACCCCTCGCCCATGCCACTGCCCCAGCCCCTGCCAACCCAATACAGTGCAGTTTGCCAGCTACGCCTCCTGCCGCATGCGTCCCTGCAGCCCGCGCTGGCTCCCTACTTGGCAGCAGCAGCCCCTGTGCGTACGTGCGCATATTTCATTCCCTAACGACCCCTTTTAACTGAGAAAATGTGTTTTCGTTACTTTTAGCATCTTTATCAAATAATAATATTACGCCGCACGAACCCAAACGTCGTCGATGTGCCCCCAACCATAGGTTACCCTACCACCGCCACCGCCTAGCCTATACCCCCAGCTCAACCCAATAAAAATTTGCTCTTTTCTTCTTCTTCACTTTGCACTCAAAGAAGTGCAAAATGCGAAAGACAAAAAGAAAGTTTTAAGAAAATGAATACATATTTGGCAATATGCAATGTGGCATACTCTATAATTTAAAATTGCAGGGTATTACAAAAAGAGTTCAATTAAAAATAGCTAATCATATATAAAAATTTGTAATTATTATTTATTTTATTTTTTTTTTTAATAATAATTGTTTTAAAAATCTCACAAGCGTTAACTTAGCTAACGAGCCTCAGCTTATTAAAGAGTATTTCACAACGAAAAAAATTGGGCGGCGCAGGCATGCAAAAATATTGAACAAAGTTTCAGTGCGAAATGGGGGAGCGGGCGCTTGAAGCAGGTGGAGTGATGGGCGGGTACGTGGCAACAGCTTCGACACTTTTCCAAGCATTTCCCGGGCAACTGACTTGCCTCGTGTATGTGTGTGTGTGTGTGTGGGCGTTTTGCTTTATTCCTTTTGTGTTCAATTGAAAAATTTGCATGCCAAGAATTATGCAAAGCATTCGCAAGAGGGTCGACGGGTGGGTGCTCGCTCAGTGGGGCCCACGCAGTGGCGGAGCGTGCGGTGGGTCAAAGGAAAACAAAGCTGGCAAATAAGTTTTGTTGCGGGCAGCAAAAGGTTTGCGCATTTCTCTGCTCCATATTGGACAACAAAATAAACCAAAAGCCATTGAACAAGCATCGAAGATCATTTGCAACGTTTGCTTTGCTGTTTTATTTTCCCTTTGTTTCCCACACTTCTTATGTTTCGCCTTCGGATTCGTCTTTCGGGTTTTCGTCTCCCTTTTTCTCCTTTTTATACCCTGAACCCATTGAAAATGGGAAATCAGGGTATAATGGTTTGGTGAAAAATATGTAATAGGCAAAAGGAACCATCGCAGACCCCACAAAGTATATATATTATTGATTAGGGCGACGAGCTGAGTCGATATAGCCCTGTCCGTCTGTCCGTCCGTCTGTATGAGCAAGCCGATCTCAGAACATATAAGAGTCAGAGAACCGAAATTTTGCATACTTACGTGTTTATACCATATGCGGTACACGTTTATCTTCTTTTTCGATAGCTCATCCGATTTCTTTTTATCGAGAATAATCGATACATTTATTTCTTTTTTTTTCAGTGTAGAATATCAGCTTGGAGGATTCAGGGTATCTCCTAGTCGAGCAGTCTCGGCTGGAGCCTTCTTAGTTGTTTTTTTCTTTTTTGGCTGTCCTCCATTATTCTTGGCGGTAATTGAACAACGTGGCCCACTCCTTGGCCGCGTAATAAATGTGGAGAGCTGTTTGCCAAGAATAGCTTAAAACAAGCGACAGAGAGACTGAGTGAGAGAGAGAGAGAGAAAGAGAGAGATAGAGGGAGAGAGAGTGAGTGTAGCGCGTGCTATAGATACAGCTTCATTTGACAACAGAGATATCGAGCATACGCCTCGTTGTACCCTTTCAGTGCGGCTCTGGCGTGGGCGTTTGCCGAATTTGTTTGTTCATTTCTATATTTGAATATTATTATCGGCATATTTTCACTGATGGCACGAGCTTATGGCAATTGCTCTATGTGGGCCATTTGCCCTTTTCTGATTAGTTTGCCAGGCGAAATGTTGCCCTGGGTCTTCCGTCAGCCAAGACCTGTAACTCGATGAACTAACCTGCGTCACTTCAATGCCCATTTAAATATTTCATGGCTGCCTTAATTCGTTTTCAAATCCTGCACAGAATCCATTTCCAATACACATAGTTGTGCATAATTGAGGCGCGCTGGCAAAACACAAATGGCAGGGCTAAAAGAAAAATGTATATATAAATTTAAATAAACTGCCGCCATATTAGGGGCCGCGCTGTGGCCTTTGAAGCACGTTTCTAAAGGTTTTCACATTTGAAATGCAGCAAAGCTTTTAATAAAATTGCCAAACAAATGTGTCGGTTTTTCGACATATTTATGGACTTTTATATATATATGTATATGTATATTTATATTGACTGTCGATACTCATTCGTGAGGTGAGACGAGTATATGGGTTTTGTGTACTGTTTTGTGTTGAGCTAGACTCTGATCTGTAGAGGGCGTGGCACATCGATCCCAACTATAGCTTGCACTGCATTCAAATTTGAGCTCCAATTTACTGCCGACTCCTGCCAGCCTCCTGCCATGAGTATTATGCAGTCGTGACAGCTGCTCAGCTGTTCACTCTTACTTGTTTTTGCTTTCTGTGCATTGTAAATACAACTCAGTCGAAGAGCTCAACATATACACATTAAACCTCAACTGACCGGTTTTTTCAATTATTTAATATATATATATCAGAGCCGGTAAGACTGCAGCTTTAAACATTATTTGCTTTGCCTCCTATTATAATGCCGGCAGACTTCTGTTGTTGTTTTCTTGCTCTCGTGTAATTGGACTTTATTGATTTGTGTAATGATTTTGGAGCGCGCTCGACTCGATGATGATTTCCAATGAAATTGCTCTGGGGTCCATTACGTGAAATCAAAATTGGCATCGCCTACTTTTTGGCTCGGCTCGGCTCGGTTCGGCTTGGCGCTGACACGCGTACAAATACAATGACATTGCCTTTGTTAACTGCCGTCTGTCTGTCCGTCTGCCCGTCTGTCTGTCTCTCTGTTTGTCTCTCTGTTTGGCATATTAAACACGTACTTAGAACATTTGTATAAGCGTCGCTTAGACACTCGAACCATTCACGCAAATTTCGCATAGATTTCTTGATGTGGTTAATTAGAGTTTGAAAACAACAAACGTTGAACAAATTGTACAAATTGTTCATTTGTTTCGACTGCTGTTGCTGCATATTTTATAGCAACAACACGAGCGCAATTGAAGCAGCCAAAAGTTGGCAGTAGAACGAATTCCCAAATACACTAAGCAAATACTTTAACGAGAGCAGATTATGCGGGAAATATACTCAAGTATTTTCAGATTATTTAGTAATTATTTTTTGCAGTATCAACTCTTTTATTTCCATCACATATTTATGGACTGCTCTTGCCTTCAGCCACGAACTGCTTGGCAAATTGATCATGCTCGGTGTGCAAAAAGATATTAAAGCTTTTTGTAGTTGGCATCTAAAAAGTTTTCATTGTTTTTCGT